ATCTGATGGCTTTTGGCAACCCGTTAATGACCTCCTGTTGCTTCAACCCTTCTGTTTTGAACTTCAAGCATATGTGTGACAACATTTGATCCTGTATGCGAGTGGGCAGTTGATTTCGTGTAGCAAATTCTGCAGCAGCTCTGACTGTATCCCTCTGTGACACCAAAGGTAAGTTCTCTTTTCATTAAATACTCAAAGACTATAATTTACTCTCTTCTCTTAGACAAAAGAGGTGACATCTCCAAATACTGTCCGTAGTCTTCCAATCAGGCTTCTTATACTAATATTAGCAGTTCATTTAGTACTTCCATGTCTTGCACGCAACATACACGCATATATAAAATATGGAAATGTGGGGTCGGCTAAACTTTTTATTTTTTGTCACAGTTGATTTATATTTGTTGTACCACTGATGGAACTATTTATTTATTTTGGACCTTTCACAATCAGTTTAAATTTTTCATTACAGGTGAACATCAGTAATTAGCAAATCAGGAAACTTACAAAAATTCTGGTGCGGCTGGTCCACTGAACTACGAGGTTTGTCATATTCCCGATGAGGTAAGAAGTTAATCCCAAGTTGAACAGCATGTAAACGATGTCAAACAGCATCTCTCTGGGATTCTCAGCATGTAAGTCTCCATAACCTGTGGTAGTTAATGTGGTGATAGACCAGTAAAGCGCAGTTATATATCTATTCCAAAGACTTTCCTCCTTGAAATTTGGGAAGACTGCACCAATCCATGTTCTCTTGGGATCAGGGTATCTATCTGCAATCAGATAGTTAAAGCATCCGGCACAGTGTACTGCAAACAGGGTGACCTGCAGTTGATTAACGGAAGTGACCATTTTGTTCTTGAAGCTGCTCAAAAATTTAATGCAGGTGGAATTTTGTAACAACTTACAGAAACCAGCTTTGTGCAACGGGTCCAGAAATAGTTGAACCGGATGTCCTTCTCAAGTCTGAATAAAATCAAACTGGGATATGAGTACTGTAATTCTTCCAAAGTCACATAGAAAACCGCGAGAAAAAAAGGGAGGGGAAGGGGGAGACGTAGGTTCCAAGTTTGATGATAAACCTTGCAAACAGTGAGCTGACTCGTCTGAGACGCCAGAGTCTTAGCATGTTCAGTACTCTAAAACCAAGTTCACTTCCGTTATTGGTGAAGAGGAGACTGAAAGTCTGAAATGGAGCTGTGGAGCAGACATCAAAAATAAACCAGGTAGACAGGTACCTGAATGTTGGACCCAAAAAACGTACATCATTCGTGTTTATTACCAGTTTGAAATTAAGGGTGAAGACTGCAGAAACCATGCTTACCTGATTGCGATTTTCTTGGGATCATCAACTAGAAGATACGTGTGGCTGTCAAGATAGGCTACAAAGAAGGTGAGAATGATATCAATGGCAAAGAAGCCATTGACAATGTGGTCGACAATGAACAGTGCATCTTTCTTGTAAGTTAGGAAGGCAAACTCAAAGGGACAAATCCAGGCAGAGTAAATTACAAGCAGAACCAGCCACATCTCCCAAAACCTGAAATGAGAAAGAAGACACAAGCCATGAGTAGCGGAGAGATAAACATTTTGTCTTAGAATGAAGCAGTGGGTAAGGCCCATCACCTGTAAAATGGATTGAAAGGTGAAATTATGTATTTACGAAGCTTGGTCGTCTGGTTTATTCTGGCTCCTAGTGATGGCAGGATATCGCTGGAGAAGAAGCTTGCATGTTTTATGCTCTCCATTTGAAATTCATCAACGCAGAACCGTTGGAAGAAGTTTTTGGTGCAGGAGAAGGACATATTGGAAACAACGCTACAGTTAACAGAAATGGTATTCGAACGAAGAGAAATTTCCCCGGGGTTGGTATTAAATAGTGAAGCTACACGGGTTAAAGTCTGTGTTTGATCACCTTTATGTCAACTTGCATCAAACATGTTTGAGTGTGAGTGCGTGGTAGTAAGCGCGAGATGGAAGTGGGGGAAGGACGTGCACAAGAGTTTCTTTCCTGGTTCGAGACTAAATAAGAAACGAGAAGAACATGAGCAGAGGCAGCAAAAACTGGAAAGTAGAGCAAGTGGCAGACATGAATAATGCAGCTGCAACGAAGAAATTGTGAGGAAGAAGAAGATGGTGGTAATGACAGTGGTAGTCGGTTGGTCGAACTCGATGAAAATGGTGGTGGAAGCTCCATCATCAACGCATGTGAAGGTGGGAGAGAGAGAGATATATATGTATACGAAAAAGGGCTCTGCTGTCAAAGGACAAGATTTGAAGCCAATACATATTTTTCTTTTTCTGTTCTCATGTCAAAATCCAGAAATGGACCAGGCAGCATATCAGACCAAGTAGAATCTCGGCTAGAGGTTTCTGTTTTGGATGCCACGTGGACCAATAGTATCTTTTTCTCGCAGGTCAGACCAAATCTTTCCTCCCCTTGTAACATTATAATCTTGGATTAAACAGAATTACCCATCGTTTTACTTACTTTTAATGAACTCCTTTTCACTGGATTTTGATTAGTTCGAGTGCATGACAAAATGGTTCATTTTTTAGAATAAGAAATGTATTTTCGTTTAAAAAAGTTGAATTAATTTATTGATAAACATTAAAAAAAATTAAGTAGAATAGATGGGATAACTAGTTATAAGATAAGTTATAGATTGAAACACAGCTTGTTTGTTTATGCAATGCAATCAGAACCATAAGAGTGTGAAAATGGATTCCTGCCATATATCCCAACCTCTCTCTCTCTCTCTCTCTCTTTCTGTGATCAGCCGACGTCTGATCTGTGATTTGATTTTCACCGACCACTTGTTGGCGGGCCCCTACAATTTGATGATTTGTTTGGGCGATAAAACGCAACGCATGTTTCTTGCTCAATCCAAATACTAACAAAACATTCTCTGATGAACACACTCTTTTTAAGAACAGGGCTCGGAGCATGATTATTTCCCCAAAGTTATTAACTAAGTAGTACTGTGATTAGTTAACAAATTCAGAAACTATTTCTTTTCCTAATTGATTTCTGTTGAATTTGATCTGATGGGTATTGCTGTACACGCAGCACCTGTCCTTTGGTAAAAGCAGATCATAGAGGAAGAACAGGGGTTAGTTTTGGTCCATCTAATAACGTAAACTGAAGTGGAGAAAGGGACTCGTGTAGCTTCTCATTTAATTCTTTGTTTTGGATGTGGAGCAAGTTTGAGACCCCACACGTCTCCCTCCTAGTATATGGTGTTAGATTCTTCCCCTCTCAGAGTCCACCTCCTTGCTCTTCGGCCAAACAGGTATGCCCTCTTAATCATTTTAGTTGATGCTTTATTTGTTTCCACTATGTGCTTGTGCCCTCCTTCCAGCCAGTAGGAATACAAAACATTTTGATCTCGTAATTCAGATTATTAACGTAATATAATTTAGATGGTTTGTTTGGACCTACTCCGAATTTCCCTTTTAAGATTAGTCCCCTTCGGTTATATTTGACCGAATATATAACTATGTCATGTGTCATGAACGACACATGGAACAAGGTAGAAACGAAATGGAATTTTATGGACATCACTCAAAATTCTTTTTTTTTTTTTTAATTTTTACATAAAATAATAACAAAAACAATAAAATTGAAGAAAATAGAAAATTATTGCACGTGGTGTAATAAAATTGGGATTGATAGGATATTTGTTTTTGGCAGTTTGTGTGTCTTATCTCGTTCAAATCTGGCTGGCTTCTCCAGCTGCTGCTCTTATCTCTGTAAACTCATGACATGGGTTTGTTTCTCTTTTGAATTAAGAACTAAGTTTTCAAAAAAAAAAATATATATTCGAGAGTCCATCTGTGAAGAAGGTCGAAGATGCAGATTAAAAACTCCATGAATCGTTTTATGTTTATCGTTGACAAATAATTTAACTAATTGATTCTTTACTTCCTTTTCCAAAAGTTAATTGCATTTTATTAGTGGCTTAGAATGTCTTCACCCATATATATACATATATATATATGTATGTATCTAGTATTTTCAAGAAGAAGATGTCCCGTTATCATCAAAATTAATAGAATAAACAATAAAAATCTCACCTGCTTGCCCCACACTTCTACACCTCCAATTATGGTCACATATTAATGAGTCTAAAATTCAATCCTAACCATAGTATCGAAATCCATCTGCCACATTAATTATATACTTACATATATGTGTGTGTATGTATAAGCTAGTTTTGTCCTCTAATAAAAGGTAGAAGGATACGATGGAGTTTTGTGGAGAGATCCTCTTGTTGCCACAGTTATAGCCAACCAAACATTCACCAAATCTTTTCCCCAAAGCTAATTTGGTTACCGTGTAAACAAATAGAACCTGTATAGATTCACATTTTCTCTTTGATATGAAAGTAATTTGTCAACAAAATGCCTGCTTTCAGGTGAGCGGATCACGAAACTCATGCCAACACTGATTTCAAACTGCCCTTTTCCAACAGTTTCTCACGCCTCTCCGATCATTTCTCTTCACAGAAACTTGAGCCTACCAGAATATTAAACAAGTAACCAGCTGACAACGATTTGCACCCGAAAAAGCTTTGATAGGTTTGTGGTGTCAATGAAATTAAGTATTATCATAATTTCTCACCGTTCAAATTAACTATCACCAAAATATTACTTTATGCTCCTAGAAGCATAGAAGAAATACTATTTTATGTTGGTAAGCAATCATATATTCTGATACAATTTAGGTGAAACTGAAATTTTCTTTTAAAAAAATTATCATCATACCTTTTAGAAATATACACAAACAGTATGTCCGAGTCCTATTCTTTTTAGCTTAAAGTTTTAGTTAAAATTTTCTTAGCCTTAGGTCCGATTTGGAAGCCAGCACACCCACTTATTCCCTGTAAGACCTGAATAACATCTCGTCCTTCTTCGGTGAATTTTAGCCTGAATATGAAAATAATGTCAAAAGGAAGCAGATGACATCGCCAGTCTAAAATATAAAAGTTCTTTCTTTGTTAGATTGGTCAAAACTAAGAACACATTGAAGTACTGAAGACAAATATAAAAAAACCACCATGACTTCTTGTACTCCATGTGAGCTAGCTTAACCAGAAGGGTTTATTTCTTAAAAAGCTACAGATTTTTATATAACTGCATACACAAGTATATTAAGAAAACTGTGGAGGATAAATGGGTCGAACCTGTTATATAATATATGCCATCGCTGTTTGATTTGAAATAATTATTTTATTCACGTACGATGTATGCATGAGGCAAACCAAGAGAACATATGTCATGTTTGCATGATACGTGTCTAATTATTTAATCAATGATAATAAACAAAAAGGTTTTAGATAATCAGTTCAAAGAATATTATACGAGAAGAAGAAGAAAAAATAAGAGGAGGGAGATTGTTGTGATGTTTAGAGAAAGGTTTGACAGCGTAGTGGTCCTAAAAGATGTGGTGCATTCATGCCAAACATGGCAACCGTCTATGGTGGTCCAACTCATTTTTGATTTGATCAGAAACCCAGATCCTCTCTGTAAACCTTTTCTTCACTTTCTTTTTATAACCACATGTTTGAATATAGCTATATAAACCTCTTGGAAAATGATGGATCCACATCTGTGTTTCATATTTTTGGAATTCTTCTTCGGGGAATCTAAAATCGTAATGTCAATATAATTGTATTAGTGAAGAAACTCTCCAATCATATAAAGACCCAAATGATTACTTTGAGTATTCAACTATTTATATATATATATATGTGTGTGTGTGTGTATTTATAAATTTATACTCGTTTTTCAAGTGTCAAACCAACTCAAAGAATATAATCACAATAACTAGTGATAATAAATGGTGGCTTTATTCTCTCTTTGAATATATATTTATATGGTGGAGATCGACTTTTTAACCTTTTTGAGGATTAGTACGAATAGTTTATATGTGAAACTGTTTATATATATATATATATATATATATATTCGGTTTGCTTATCATTACTCATATCCTTTACGCCCTATACATTTATCAAGAAGAATATTGTTAATGTGCCATATAAAAGTTGGATTACTTTTATCATCTTAAACATGTAGTTCTGTGGAATAAAGATTTGACGTTTGAGTACCCACCAACTTCTAGAAAATTTAGCCTAACTCCATGGTTATTCAAAGCTCGAGTACAATAATAATGGGACACCTTTGCTTAAAGCATAATAGATATGTATGCGAACCAAAACAAAAGAAAGATTATATATACACATATATACGTACAATGACTGACATTTGGCAATTGCTTAATTAGCTATCAATTACTGTCAGTCAACACCTTTCATTTCAACATCTCATGCTTACTCTTACCCTTCCTTCAGATTAATTCAATAAACTATTATAAAATTTAAAATCCATGTTAACTACATAAAAAGATAAAAAATTTGCAAACCCTAAGAATTACCTTACAATGTTTTTGGTTCCAGGCCCTAAGAATTCTAATATCTTAATTATTATATATATAAATTATTCAAAGTTTGTATATATTTGTATCATATTTCAATACGTATTGCCTAAATCTAAATTTGGATCAAATTCAATGTTGAAACCTAAAACTTTACAATCCCTTCTATATCACACAAAGGCAAGTTTTCTTAAAGATCATCAACTTAGTTCCTACCAGAATCATTCAATCTTTGACACAAACACATACATAAATTTCTTTTGGCTAGATGTATATATATATATATATACATATAATTCAACGAAGCAAAAAAGGAAAACCAAAAAAAAAAAAAAGGGTAATAATCATCATATATACTGTTGACAACCCAGCTGCTTTGTGCTAACACCATGATTATGAGTTTGACAAGCTGTGTGTATTCTTCAACTTTGTTTAATCATCCAAAAAAAGAAAATCAGTCTCATCAAATCATTCACTCAATCCAACCCACATGAATAATTCACACTAATTTGATCTCATGGCTTCATTTGTCCCTCCATTATTGGTGCTCCATATAATATTGAAATTCATATTATACTAGTCAAATCATTAATCATATATCAATCCCCAAAATTTTGAAAAATATTTCAATAACTGAATGGTTCAAAGTAAAGTAACAATTTTTAAGCCCAAAAAAATTTGCAGTTTTCTTGATTGCAATTAATCCCTCAAAACAAAGTAATTACTGTTTGAAACTTAGAGGAAGCTACAAACAGGAAAAAAAAATGAGAGAAGAAGAAGAGAGTTGCAACAAAGAGAAGGAAAAAAAAAACATAGTAGATTAAAGGAAGGAGCATGGAACAAGAAACAGTAGCCACCAAGGTTGGAAGAAATGGAGGAAGAAGAAGAAAAAAGTTGCAGAAACAGAAAAAAAAATATAGATGGAGATGATAACAAAATTAGGATTTAGGAGGAACAATGAATAAGAAAAGA